ATATTAATCATTTACACTTCAATAAGTTTGTTGCTATGTAATTATACATATACGATATATTATTAAAAAATTCAAATTATAGAAAACCGAATGAAATTTACATTAAATTGCAAATTTGCAAAATTTTTTTTTCTTTTTTCTGTTACTTTTCGACTTACAAATATTTTTTAAGTTGACAATACAATAAATATAAAGATATTCACTAAAGAGCAACATATTGTTGCAATATACGATGATGTGAAAGATTTGCAAAATTGGTTCAGGTCATGTTAGGTAGGTCATGACCTACTTTAACACAAGTATAAACGATAGTTTGGTTGACCTAATATATTCCTTTTATCATTTCGATAATTTCTTTATTCAAAAATAATATACAACACAAATGATCAAAGAAGCTAGAAAAATTTTAATAAAGTAAATTTTATTGATGAAATAATATTTATTGATTAATAATATATTTTGTGGTAAAAAGTCAAAATTTTATATACTGTCATTAGTCATAAAATGTTGTCTTATGACTAATGCAAATGATATAAGAAGGGGATTGTTTCTTTTGCGAAGCGCGCGAAAGCGTGACTATGCACACTATAATTCCTTCTCTTTCTCTTTGTCTCTTTTTACTATACTTCTTCACTCTTTACTATACTTCAGTATTATTTTTCACGGTCTCATAATGTTAGAACTTAACTTCTGAACGAATGTGAAAATGCGTTCAAACTCATTACGTGTATCAAATCGAAAGAGAAGACATAAAGAGAATGCACGCATATACATATATTAAACGCGTACGCGATGCATACACAGATATATTCGTGCATACTCATATATATGTTTTTGCGTACATTGTATAGTGAATAAGCAATGATATATCTACATATATGTAATGTATACGCAAGTACGTATTCTTAAGTGAAAATTCAATGATTTCTTCGGTAAAGAATCAAAATAACAAAAGAATATACTCGAAATTACATATATATTTAATGTTTTTTTTCTTTTTTCTTACAAAAAAAAACTTATTGTGTTAAAATAAAATAAGAAATAATACATAAGAAATAACAGAAAAGGATATTTTTGACATTATATTTGTACAAATATAAAAAAACAATTTAAAGATTTTTCTAACGAGTTAAAAGATTTATTTTTTATATTCAATATTAAATAATTAAATAATCATATATGTAGAAGAACATTTAAAAATCTATTAAATTTTAATAATTATAAAGCATATACAATAATTATTCGATACAATATAGAAATTTCTTAAAAATGATTGCTATTCTTTATTTTGTTTGTATTAACCTAATATTAAATTTAATTTTAATTTAATGGTATATGACATGTCAATAATAAAATTTGCAATAGTAAACAAATCAGTAACTGTCATTCGATCAATGTAACAGCTGTGAGATAGAATATACGAAAATGATTAGTTATTTGTGAATACTATCATTTAAAAACAAAGAATACCATTGGGAATGTAAAAAGAAAGAAAAGAACAAGTCAGTAATGGCACTGCTTACCGAAGCAAGAGAGAAAGTGTTTTATTGTTGGCGCACTCGAGGATTTTTTTCTTTTCCCAACCTTCAACAGTTTTCACCCATTCTTCACCAGGACTGCGCCAATCCTTTGATATGAACGGCATCGTCCGTAAAATAATCACAACGAAACCGTTATTCTACTTGTGTATGCAAACTGCGAACGATTCTTCGACTAATGCTAAAAAATATTACGGAACACACTTCACTGTATCACGGACGCTCAATGTTTGCTCGTAATACACCTCGGTCTGTTCGGTTTACTTCGCGGCTGCGATCGACCGCGCATGGCTTTGTTTTACTGACGTCACTCTGATATCAGCTGTGCAACTGACGAACTTGTGGACTCTCAATACTTTCCATATACATTCCGCCATTTTAATATTTATATTTCACGCATGCGCGATTAAATTTGATTCAAAAAATACTATTCGGATATTCGGATATTATTCAATTCAAAAGATATTATACGTTTCAATGTTGTTTGCAATACGATTTTTTTTTATTTAAATTATATTTATTTATTTATATTAGTATCATTATTGATAAATTATATTGATATTATATTGGTTTTGTAAATTAAAAATTTTCATTTTTTAATTATTAATAAAATTGAAATTATACAAAATATAAACGTTTATATCAAAAAATATGTTTTGATTATAAAGAAAATATACACAAATACATTCAAATCATTTTTATGTTATATTTATATTTTTTATTTGTTCATCTATTTCAGAAATAATATTTATGGATACTGATTCTTCTTTTTCTTCTTCTGTTTCTGAATCTGAAATAGCTGGTGGAAAATCTGAAATAGCTATATATTGAATATAAGTTTAAACATTGACAATAATTTATTGATAATGATATTCATGATTTATCATATTATATTAATTAATATAAAGAAATATTAAATTAATAGTTAAAAAAATAATATAATAATTACCATGTTTATTTAATTTTTCTTCTCTCGCATTAACGAGAAATTTTTCTTGCGCAGATATAATCTCTTCTGCATTTGTACAAAGTGAATATGTTTTTAACAATTCGTCATTCAATTCTAAAAATGAGTGACCCCAAGAAAATTTTCCGAGATAAAATTTTGCTTCTTCAGGAAAACCTGTTATAATTAAAGTAGCAGCTATAGCTTCTACACAACTTAATTGACAAGGTTTTCCATAATTTATTGGATTTGCAGCAACTAGAAACGGTAAAAGACGCGGATTGGAAGTTCTCATTCTACTAAATGGAGTATCATCCAAACGTGCCCAACTACAATCGACGACTGCACAACCATAATCTTTTATAATATCACGATCTGTTGGACTCACACACTACAATATGAAATTTCAATTTGCTATATTAAAAATTAATTTATTTCGTCTATTACATCAAAATATATCATACCTTTTGACCAATAGGTGTAAGAACTAATCCTGAAAATCGAGCTCCTAACCTTAATATTTTTACTAAGCCATGTCTAACTAATTTTCTACCGGAACATTTTTTAGGATCGCAATGTTCGAGATCCCACATAGCAACAGGAAAAGAGGGGGACCATACATTTTCTTCTTGTTCTAAAAATTAAAATAATCGAATCTGTTTTAAATTTTTTTTTAAATATTTATACAATTAAATACTCCTTTCTAACCTGATACTTCATCTTCCTGATCGGATTTATCTCTTTCTTGACGGTATTTTTCTTCTTTTCCAACAACGTGTCGTGGTCGCCTTGTTAGTATTCGTTTTCTGTTTTTCTTTCCGTGAGATGACATTTATGAGATAACATAAACTTCAAATTGTTTCGTAAAAATATATATGAGCATGAACTATTCCTTTCAATTTGAAGGTTACTTAACTCAATATGTATATAAACGTAACAATAACTATATGTTATAAACCCACGTGTATTCGTACGTACAAGTGAATTTATATTCAAATAATATACATTGCATATAATTCAAATAATATATATTATAATATAATAATATTATATTGTATAAATCTTTCCAATTAATTATTTCTGAGCATTAATTATTTCTCAAAACATATAATTTTTTTTATAAGATGCTTTATCTTATTTATTAATATGTTTATGTGAAATTGTAATTAAATATTACTATATTATTTATGTGAATCAAATTTATATATATATATAATTGTTATTTAATAGAAGCATTTAATAAAAGAAAATCTTAATAAAAGCATTAAGATATAATAATTCATATATATTAAAATTTGTAAAAGTACCACTGCATTAGACGGCACTGATATACTGTTAGAGTGGGTAACAAGTGGCTGTTCTGTTCTCAATCGCTCCGCGGAACACAAATTGTTCAGTGAATAGGGATTCTTTAAACATGTGTTTAAAGACGATTTAATCAGAAGAGAATGTTTTGTTCATACTTATATTGTTCTTAAATTAAAGGTAAGTATTAATTTATACTATTTTACATATTAGTTTTTTATATTTTATCAGTTCACATTATTAAAATTATTATTTCGCAATGATATATAAAAACATTGACTGGTTAATGCGTATTTGTGTAATTGAATATTTTTAGCTTTACTGATATTAATAATGTTTATATCGTTCATGCCGCTTAAAAGACATGGATTCAGGTACATTTTATTGAGATAAATATATTGTTTCTTATTTTATAACGTTTTTGCATATATATCGTATCTAAATGCTTAAATTATTATTAATTATTGTTTAAAATTTTTTAATAAATCCTTTTTAAATATTTATTACGTAACATATGGATATTACTAATTTTTTTTTATAAATATATAACAAATTTATATACGATATACATTTTACGATAATATATTAATTTATAAATTATAGCGAATCAATTTATTTTAAATAATATTATGATTTATAAATTTTTTAATAACTAATAATATCATAACTTATATTTTCTTTCTTTACAAGAAAACACAAAGAAAGAAACAATTATAAAAGTAACAGATTGGTTACGTGGAATTTGGGAAATGAGACGTCAAACTGGTCCTGTCCAACAATGGTTAGATTCAATACCATCACCTATAAAATCTAATTTTTCAATAAAAAATGAAAACCAACGAGAATCAAATAAAAAATCTAATGTTTCATTAATACCAAGTGAGCCTAAGGATATTCCATATCCTACAGGAACAAAACAATTAACCATGACTAAATCTGCACCTATCAATGTTCCTAATACATCAATTAATACAACAAGATTGCCTAGGTATTAAAACACAAACAGAAAGAAATACACAATAATTATTAATTTCATTATTATTTATGTTTTTATGTTTTATATAGTTCATTGCCTCATAAATTGGTTCGAGATCCAAGTCTACAATCTGATAGCAGTCACTGTAGTAGTGTGGAAAGTTTATTAGAATTAAGAAAAGCAGATCCAGAAGCAATTTTACTTGGTCTTGGATTTGGTGGTTGTTCAAATAGTCCACAAGAAAATGGTTCCTTTTCTCGCATACCAAAAAGATTTTTACAGCCATCAAAGTTAAAAGGCATAGCTATTAATGATTTTATGAAGCAGCAACAAGAAACTAGTGAATCTTTTGATTCAGTATCTTTAGGATATAGAGGTTTGACAGGTAAGATACATGCAAAAAAATTGATATATATAGGCAAAAATATGATAGAATAATAAAATAGAAATATATATAAATTACAATTTAAAAGTTATTACACTTAATATGGAACAATTAAAATAAATACATCAAATAAATTTTATAGATAAAGTATTATAAGTTAAAAAAATAAATTTATGTTACACAAATAGTAATGTTATAGGAAGCGATGACACATTATCTGTGTCTAGACTTTGTCCACATCGCAGACATTCTGGACCAATTAATTTTGTAAGTCTTGTGACAATTAGGTTTTTTCTGAATTTTTCATGATTCTAAAGTAATTTTTATTTGAAAGATTTATATTTCAATTTTGTTTTAATTGTTTTTTTGATGTGCTTAAGTATCTATGCTTATAGATTTTTAAATGTTTGTTTTATAATGATAAATAACAAATAAATAGAAAATGCATGAAATAGTTATTTTGTCCGTGTGAAAGTATTTAATGCCTGAAATAAATTATTTGTTTTGTATCATAGATAATTATAATTATTTATTTAGATTACAAGACATTAAAATTAAATAATAAAATAAATTAATCATTAATTGTTTTTAAATTTGTAGTATCTTTAGTCATAAAAATAAAATTGCATAGTTTTTCTAAGTTGCATATTATATATATTTTTATAAATCGTTATCGCTTCTTGTTTACAGATAATTTTAATGTTATATTTATTTATTGTTAGTATATAATAATGATATTTAATTGCTAAGGAATGTGAAATTATTTTTCTTTTTATCTAAAAGGTTCACCGTACGTAGCACCATCAGAAATCGTACAGAAAATTATGCAACGTTTACGAGAACACGAAAGTCACGAACATGATCCATATGCAATGTATAATTCGTACGAACAATATAGTCCATTGCATTGTGGTGGTACACTTTCTGTACTGTCCCCTGACAGTAGACAATTTTTGGAACAACCACGTTCTAAAAGTCCAGACATGCGTAACAAACGTATGATCATAGGTAATTGGTTTTATTTGTTTTTTTTATTAATTGTTTTTTTAACTATATATGTATATAATATTATATTATATTATTGAAAAATATACTAATGAATATTGAATATATATTTATAGGACAAAAATCATTTGCATTTGGGCATGATGGTGATTTAATTGAAATTGATTCTTCTAATCCAAAAAGATCATTTGAAGATATTCTAGACACTGACACTAATGTTATGGAGAGTTTAGAAGCAAAACCTAATGATTTAACAACTAATGATATTAAAGTGTTTAAACAAACGACTATTCAGAAAATAGAAAAAATATTACCAAAAAGCTTATATTTTAATGACGATAAAGAATTTAATAATACTGACTTTAATTTATTGACGAAAGCATTCAAAGAAAATTTAAATGAAAAAAATTTAGATAAAAATATTGATTGCAAAGATGATATTTCTTTAAACACAATTTCACATAATATATTTGATATTCGAAGGGCTAGTGATGGATTTTGTAACATGAAAGATGAAAAGATTTTATCCGAGATAAATAAACGAAGACATAGCGACAGTTTTATGCAAACTTCTAAGCATAATGATGATAGTATAGCTCGAAGAAGAAAAACTTTGAAGCGACAGACTAGAATAAATGATATAGATGACATAAACTATTATGATTTAAATATTTGCGAATCTGATACAGCACAATGCAAAGAATTTGAATGTAACTTGAATGATGATGACAAGCAAAAAAGCATTTCTACGAAATTAATTCAGAATGATGATAAAAAGATAGAATTAAAAAGTGGAACCAGAAATTATGACATAATTAAATACTCACAAACATTTCTCGAAGAAACATATAATTGTATAGAATCAACTAATTCAAGTAAAGAAAAACAAGGAAATAATAGTGAATATTGTATTGAGGAATCTCAGTCTATAGAACAAATATGCGTGAATAAAGATGAAAATACAACTTGTTGTTGTCATTCTGGTACTAAAAAGTATTGGAAGAAAATGGAAAAAATTATACAAGAAAATAAAAACTTAGAAAATATGGTAACAAAAAGTAGAAGAGAAATGGCAGAAATTCGAGAAATGCTGAGTAGCGTGTTATCTGTACGATTAGAACCTGGTTTTTAACTACGGTTAAACACAGATAAAAATATATTGCTCCATATGATATTAGAATATTCGAAATAAATTTCGACAATATATTTTCAAAATTATTTCGCATATTAATAGTATTTTTGAACGTATCTTTAAAACATTTTACACTTAAGAAAAGTGTAATTCACAAAATTATCACAAAAGCTCATAATAAGCTCATAAAAATTGCAATGCAGTAAGAATTTTTACTTATAATAATTATATCTCTGTTTGTTTTTAATTTTAAATAAAGATGTAAATATTTTGTTATAATTAAAAATTTTTATTTTTTAGTAAATATGGATGAAATAGCATTATCTCATATATTTACAAATAATATATTGTTGATTTATTATTATGAAATATTTTAGTATATTTGAAAAATTATTGCTATTATTTTATTATTTTTGTTGCTATATATAAAACATATTAATGTTAAAATTTTCATTTAAATTTCATTGTTGATAATATATAAATTATTTTACCATTGTTCAATCGTACTCAATGTACGCGTATACATTAAATTGTAAATATGTATAAAGTAACTTTAGAAACTGTGTTTCACATTCGATAATTTGAAGATGTATATGTAAGCATATACTTCAAACAAAAAAAAAATTTTTTTTGAAATTCTAGTCCCATTAATTTTCAGTAACATAATTTCATTATATTGCTATAAAAAAAGAAAAAAGGCAATAATAGTTATACAAGTAGCAGCAGCACTAATAGTAATGATAATAACAATAAAGATAAAAATAAGATTCAGCTATTTTTTTTCTGATAAATATTAATATTTTTTTTATGTATGTAAATTAATTTATAAGTAATTTACGTCTTACTATAAGAATTAAATATTATATTTGTGAAGAAAAGAAAGTAAGAACTATTTTGCAATATTTAACTTTATCTTATATAAACATTTGCAATTTTATGCCTTCATATAAATATTCGAATTTTTATCAATTTAAAAATATACATTTTAAAGTGACAAAACTATTTTTGATTGGAACTTTTTGTATAATGGAAAAAGTTATTATGAATGATTATTAATAATTATTATTAATAGAGTCATAATTTTATAAGTTCATCAATTGCCTTTAATGCTCAAGTATTATATATATTTCTATTATTGTATTAGTTCTTATTATGAACTAAACATAATTTTGTTGGGGCTCTATGCTAACATTAACTACATTTCAGCACAAAACTTTTATAATTAAGTTAGACATAATTATAAAAATTATATTTACGTATTATTAATCAAAACATTTAAAGTACAAATTAAAATGGAAGTTACAACAGGATTTATGTATATACGTGTGTACATATAAATATTATATATATACACACACACATATATTTTTTTAATCTAACATATCATTTAATGTTTTTAATTGTTAAATTCATAACAAAGGTTCTATTCCATATTATGTGCCTACATTCCAATAAATTTGATGTATACAAATTATACAAACAGGATAGGAGCTTTGTAGAAAATATGAAATGTACAAATAATATAGGAATATTGAATAAATATTTGACAGGATTAATTTTTACTCTCTCTCTCTCGCTCTCTCTCTCTTTTTTTATGTACGTGAAACATAATTTTTATCTATAAAGCTAAATTGAACATGACATATCATTGAACATGATTGATGACAGTATAATTAATTTCTTATTCACACTGTTGCTACTAACATAAGTCCATTATACATAATATTTATAGCTATGAAAACTTCGAGATTTAAATAGAAAATTAAGAATATTATGATTTTCCAGTGAATTTACACGACGATAGGAACACAAGACCACAACGGTAACTGACACTGTGATTTATTTTCTATATCTAATATTTTGTATTTTAATGACTAAACATAACACGGAATCTAGTTACTGAAGATGTTCTTATAATTGGACATTGAACTGTTTAAAGTGCAACAGAGGATTGAGTGAATTTTACAATTAAAACTACGCGAAAATTTATATATCAAATTATCACTAGATAAAAAAAAGTAATACAATAGTATTTTGAAAATAACATGCAGTCAAAACAAGAAGCTTAGACTTTTGTTGAATTTATGAAACATAGAATATGAGTGGATGTCGTACCTTTTAAGGAAAGAAATAATGTTGCAAATATTTGGATAGCTTGATTGTTAATTCAAATACACATAAGTATCTTGTAGAATTATTAATTATACATAAAGCTACCCTTAGTAAAGAACTGAGATCCATGGTCCACTCAATCTTATTTTTAAACACGAATCTGCTAGAATATCATTTTGTAAACTGCATCCATGTATTTATGTAATATGTCTGTGTAATGTTGAGATGTACCTGTGAATGTAGATGTATTCTTCCTTAGCATATCTTAAAATGTATATAAACAAATATGATCAAACATGATCTATATTTAGTCTTCTTTTTCTTCTCTGAAAAATAGGAAAAAATAGATGTCTTTTTTATTTTATTCTAGAATAATAATGAAATCATCATATAAAAATGGAAAAAAAAAAAAAAAAAAGAAAAAAAAAAAAAAAAAGAAAAAAAAAAAAAAAAAAGAAAAAACATACTTTACAACTTCCTGTTGATGTTGATCAAGGTGAAGTTCAACAATGGTTTCTGTTCTACTTTGCACTTTGAAAGTAACTTGTGCAGCCAAGTATTTATCTTTGTTATTTACCGACCATCCTGAATACTATAAAATATAATATTCATTAAAAACATAATATTTATTAACATATAGATTTTATAATAAAATTAATATTAAAAATATGTTAAAAGCCCACCGTCGATGTGCTTTTGTATAACGTTTTTCCATCTTCTTTAAAAGGTAAAAATTTTTGAAGTAATGCTTTTCCATCTATCCTCCATAATGTTGGATCCGTATTTCCACCATCTGTATTTCCAATATCAGCTTTTGCAACAACGAATGCACCAGACTAAAATAATAAATACATATAACATTGTATTCTTGTAATATAAATAAACAAATATATAGGATATTATAAACTCATTATACAACTTACAGTAAAATCTTTTGGCGTCTCTCCTGATGATTCGTTATAGCTGTTATCATCAGAATCTTCTTCATCTTCATCTTCTTTTTCATCTTCTTCTTTTTTAGACCGTCTTTTTCTTTTAGGTTTTTTTCCTGTGTCTGAATCAGATTCTTCATCTTCTTCTTCATCTTCTTCATCATCTTCTTCTTCTTCTTCATCTTCTTCTTCTTCTGAATGTTGCCGTTTTTTAGCAACTTCTCTTTGTGGCCTTTTTTTAGCACCACTCTAAATATTAAAATTAGTATTATTGAAATAATCTGATTATGATTTTATGTTTATATTTTATGATTACATGATTTTATTATAAGATTATTAATATTATACAAATATATATTATATATATTTATATTATATTAATTTTTTACTAAAAATTTTTTGAACTAAAATATAATGATAATACTTACAATATAAATGATAATACTTTTTATTTTGATTAATACATGGCTTTTGATAATACAAAATATAAATAGAAGGATTAAACATTACAAAATTGCAATGTTTTGAAAAATACATAGTTCGACCAGTATTAATAATTTGTCGACTATAATAGTATTTTCAAAAATAAATAATTTTTTATATATACAATAAAAAATTAAATTTTTTACAATAAAAAATTAGATTTTTATTTATTATTGAGATTTAAAAAATATAGAAAATATATTTTATTGATAGTATACATTCGATAAAATACATCGGTTGCGTATTTGACACGGCTACAATATATCACTGCTACATAACTGAATCGACTTGTTTTCTCGTTATCTACTAAATGGGACCGATTAATTAGAAATGATATTTATTTCTGACAATAATGAAAAATATGAAATTAAGAGAAAAACATAAATATCAGAGATGATAACTTGAATACCTTATCTACAAACATTTATGTTTGTTTTCTTACTTGATGAAAAATATGAAGAATTGAAGTGCCGCCGATTGACAGAGCTTTATTTGTGAATAACGATGTATATATAGATATTTTCATATATAAGAAAATTCATAAAAAATGTGACAGAAAAACAAGAAGTCATGATAAATTAAAAAATAGGAAAAATATATTCAAGAAATAGTAAAAAAGAGGAAAGTATTAGTAGCGTGGGCTTACTTCAGCTCCGGCCTCAGGAGTCCACTCTTCTTCAGAGGCTCCTTCCACTTCTTCCGGATCATCCGCGGAATATTCATCCTCGTCTGAGACGTCCTTAGTTTTCTTCATGTTGCTTTTTCGCGAAATGTTTGCAAACTTTCCCAATGGGGCTCACTGGATGAGAGAAAAACTTGACGAGATTATGTACGAGACAAACCAATTACGTACGCGACTGCCGCAAACAATATGGCGGTATATAGCGATGGGAATTGACTTTTACGCACAACCTCCTGCGCAGCCGGAAGCGACGCGTGCTTTATAACTTCCTGCGCGTTCATAAACCCGCGAAAAATGGAATTTTTAGATAACTATATAAATCGTTTACGAAATTTTTACAATCTATTTGTAAATTGCAATAATATAAGATACTAAATTACTATTAAAAAAAATAAATAAAAAAAAGAAATGTAAAAATATAATGATTAGACTTAAAGTTAATAATATATATCGTATAATAGTTTAAAGCAGTTTGAAAGTGCATTTATTGAATAAGTTTAATTATATAATTAATTAGTTGTTTGTGATTTATCGATATTTTTTAATGTTTTGGATTATAAAAATTTGTCCGAATTCAAAATATTTTTCGAGTTGGATCGATATGAGAGCTCGCGCATGCGTTAACATTTTAGTGAATAAGTCTCTTCCTTTGCTATTAACGGTGCTAAGAATTTAGCGTGCAGAGAACAAATAATTACGAAAAAAATATAAAGATGTTCGAGCTATATGGTATGAGCAAAGATGGTATGGTTTATCGTTCTCCACCGCCAAGAAGAAAAGAAGTCGACATATTAGAGGTAATTCGAAAAAATTGATTGATCTAATTATTTAATTATTTGATAAGCATTGTTGTATTTATCAATGCTCATTTTCTTATTTAAAGATATTCTTGTATACAAGAGTTTACAATATGTACAATATATATAATAAATAATGATAATATATTACATTAAATTTTATTGAAAGATTTCATTCGTAATACTATATCATACATGATAAAATATTTAAAAAAAATTATCAAATATTTTGATTGTTCACTTTGATTGAAACTATTATATTTGCAGACTTGTTTGCAATTACCATCTCCTGAACTAATGAGAAAATTACCAAACGGTGATGCAATACATCATGCAAAGGATTCAGGTGTTTCAACCTCTTTTGATAAAAATAAAGATCCACCAAGAGAAAGCGGTAAGTTTTTATAGTGAAAATAATTATAATTTAAAAATATAAAGTATCATTTTTATGCATATAATTACTTATCGTTAGAATAGAAATGTGATTTTACAAATGAAATGAAGTAGGTTAGAAAAATTGAAACAAATTATATCTTTTATAATATTGTATATTATCATCAGTTCATCACTTTCTTTCTTGTTCTTTTTCTCATTCTTTTCTCATTTTATACCAGTGAGTTTGTTCATTGCCTGTGGAACTGCCACATAATTTTTCTAACGATGAAAGATAGATATAAAGAAATTGTTAAGATGATTAACTTTGCTCAGTTGAAGATTTCACTTTGGAATACGATATAAAGTTTATTTTTTTCACATATGAATTAATTACCAATTTTCGATTCCAATAATCGATATTGAAATGTGTTAAGAAGTTTATCAACTTCTAATCGATGAAAAAGAAGAAAAATTGTCGCGGAATAAAAAGAATTTATAATCGTTTTATTGTTATTTCTACGTCTGCATTCGTCGATGACTAAATAACGACGTAAAAGGAAGGTGTGTGGATGCTATGATACGCAGGACGGAGCGTGTTGAGGAAATGGATAGTGATGATTGGTTTCTTTTTCCTTGGATGTGCTCTGGTCGCCGGTGTTGGATTACCTTTAGCTTTGGAACTACGTAGCTCGCACTTGTTGGAAGCTAGACTTCAAGTTGTCCGACGAATGCTCTCTGAAATACCTTTGATCGATGGGTACGAAATTATCTTGTAAAAAAAAAAAAATTGATCCAAACTTTATAGTTGTTGTGAATATTATGAATATTTTAGGCACAATGATTTTGCATGGAATCTTCGAAAACATCGAGGAAATACGAAGTTGAAAGATTTTCCTTTCGATGAGAACTTATCGCGAAACGTAAGTTGGGGATCTCAATGGCAGACTGATCTGGTACGGTTACGACAAGGTATTGTAGGTGGGCAATTCTGGTCCGTGTACGTACCGTGCGAAGCACAATTTCTCGATGCAGTGCAACTTACTCTGGAACAGATAGACGTGATACGTAGGCTCACTTCGAGATATTCGAAGAAAATAAGGATGGTAACGAATAGTAAGGAGCTCGAGAAAGCGCATAAGGATGGCGTGATCGGGAGTTTATTAGGAATTGAAGGAGGCCACAGTATTGGGACGTCTATGGCTGTGTTAAGAAGTTTTCATCGGCTAGGAGCACGATACATGACCTTGACACATAAATGTAATACTCCATGGTAAGATTAGGAATATATAAGAACAAAAAAATATAAAAAATACAATGGATATACATAGATAAAAATATATATGAATATAATAGTGATGAACCAACCTATATCTATCATTGCTATCATCCGTAGGGCGGATTCTTGTTCGGTGGAAGATCCAAATTCGGATGCACGATTGGATTTTCACAGCGACGGATTATCGATATTTGGTAAAGCAGTGGTAAAAGAATTGAATCGATTAGGAATGCTGGTGGATTTGTCTCATGTTTCGATAAGGACCATGAGGGATGCGTTGGCGATGAGTAAAGCGCCTGTGATATTTTCTCATAGCGCTGCTAGAGCTCTCTGTAATTCATCTAGCAATGTTCCAGATGATATACTTCGTAATTTGGTAAGAAAAAAAAGTTGAATAAGACCATTTTCTTTTCTCGAGTTCTCAATTTTTCTATTTTTCAACTTTGTTTTACATATGTAGATAACCTGATTGTATCTGATTACAAACGAAGTCATAAAATTAATTATATAAAAAATTTTTTGACTGCTAGAAGATCAATTTAAGATATTTAGAAGACATAAATAATTCTATCATCTTTCGGTATCGTAATAAATTTTATATGAATTCATAATAATTTACGAAAAATTAAAATTATTTAAAATATTATATAATAAAATTTATAATATTATTTAATATTCATTCATATTAAATTCATTTGTTCATGTAATCATCATATAAAAGATATAGATTAAATGAAAGACAAGGAATATGCGAAGCGATATTCTTTTGTTCATATTCTTTTTGTTTTTTATGCAATAAGTTTTAGAAACATACAATTTATACAATTTTTTGAACTAATGATTTTTCAATATAAATAGTTTAATATTTTCTTATAAGAAATAACGAATTGTATCGATTGCATTAAAAATTGTATAATTCCATTTACAAAAGTAGATCACGTTTTTTATGTGTCCATCTACAGAAAAATCATTAATATATAATAACATCTTTATACTAAATAAATTTTATAACAATAGTTTTTTCAAATCATCTTAAAAGATATTTTATATAGATAAAATAGATATTCTGTAAAATAGATATCGTATTTTATCATTGTAAATATCATTGAAATGATGTTTAAACTAGATTAAATTTAAATTGTAATTAAAAGTTAATTGACTACTTTTTCTATTTCATTGGTTGGAATTTTATTCTGTATTGGATAAAATATATAAGGCTTTGAGAGCCAATACATAAATAATGCCATGTGACACCAATCAATGCTGCTGTTGAATGCAATTATTTATGACTTCGTTATTTCAACTAAATTTTCTTCTATCTATATTTTATATATATTTTTTTGCAACAACAGTATTATTTATTACCTAAAATCAATATAAATAATTTATATAGCAGAATAAAATTATATTAAAATTATATTAAAATTTATGTTTTTCATTACGAATACTAAATGTAAGAAAATATTTTAATTAATTTATTTTTTTGCTAAAATTACTAGTACTTGACCCACATGACCAAGGTACATTGATTAGTATGTCAAACAATACCTCGTAGATAGACGAGAAAAGTATACAAAACCGAGAATGCTGGTGTCACCATGTCTTATCTTTTGTTTCAGTCGGTGAATGGTGGTTTGGTTATGGTAAGCTTTGACAGTGCACATTTAAGCTGTGGAGATAAAGCTTCTATGTATGATGTGATAGGTATGTATGTGTGTATTAAAATATCACTAAAAAACAAAATTTTCATTTTGATCAATACTAAATAATTGTTTTTTATATATTGCATAAAAAAATAAAAAAAAGGAAAAAAATATATAGTTGTTCTTTATAGCTCATATCAATCATATAAGGCGAATAGCTGGTGTTAATCATGTAGGTCTTGGAGCTGGTTATGATGGAATATCGAGGTAAACATAATAATAATTTCCTTAAACCTTTTTAAGATGCGATCTTTTATAATAACCAAATAACTTGCAATCTCCCATCTTTTTTTACTAGAACATAAGAATATTTTTAATAGAGTAAAAAAAAATGTTTTCCTTTTTTATATTACGATCTTTTGTGAATTACGTTATTTTTAAGTAAAAATAAAATGAATGTTTTCAGTCCACCAGTTGAACTTCCAGACGTTTCTGGTTATCCTTTGTTATTGGCCGAACTAACGAGAGATCGAAGATGGTCGGCTTTGGATATTAAGAAATTGGTGGGTGGAAATTTATTGAGAGTATTGAAGGAAGTGGAAAATCACGCTGTAACCATGTCGCATCAATCTCCAGCAGAGGAATTGATTCCTCAGGAGTTGATAGAAGATACCGCCTATTGCAGATACCATGACGCTTAGAAACAATTCGACATCAATGTTTCGATAATGGATAATTTTCAGAATGTCGAATCATCTATTTCTTATTGTTTCCTCTCTTTGTACCTGAATTATTCTGTTTTACATTTTCTAATAAAGTAGTCACGGAATCAATCGAATCGCTGTTTTTTCTATCCTTTACATTTTAATAATTCGCATATAACCTCTTATAAACGCTTCATGTTCACCATCCACGTGTAATGTAATATCTTTATCGAGACGAATGTATTTAATTTCACATCCTTTGCGCCACGGTTAACGAGTCACCTAACTGTGCTGCGAGAAATAAAAAATATAATTAACTGTAATCGTTCGTTTGTAATCGAAACGTCTACACACGATAAAATGAACAGTGAATTAATATTCATGTAAATATGTACATATTTTATATATTCAAATATATATGTTCATCTATAGTATTATATAATTACATATTTATGTATTTATATTAATATAAATAAAGTGTATTCATATAATAAATTATTATATAAAATGAATATTATATATTTATATTCATATACAAGATATTCTAAAAATAAGGCAATATTATTTAACTAAAGATTCCTGAAATAATTTTCATTTACAAAAACTTTCATTATCGTTTTGTTAATAAATTATTAATAAGCTGGCCAATCACAGAGAACGTAAACGTAATCAAGTTACGATAGGTTACAGTAGCGTTGGGTATTTGCTGTCGTTCGAATATGAACAAGCAATATATATGGAACAAATATGATTTTTTTTGATAAAAAAATATTTATTATATTTAACAAATTTGATATATATACATATAGCTTGGACTTAATCGTTCTTGATCGGCGATACATATCCATCGCGATTTGACGAATACACTATTTTTTATTAATAACTCGTTATTAACAAAATCCAAAAGTTTAAAGCCAAAGTTTTACAGAAAAAAAATTACATCAGGAATTTAACCGATATTCTCATATTTTTAAGACATTTTGTATATTTTTCATACGTCATCATAGTATCAATTCATTCGACGTAGAATGATAGTTACATTACGCAAATAAAGTTATAAAGTTATAAGTAATAAGTAGAATATTTTGTTAATTTTTTTTATATTCAAAAAACTTATATAATAATTAAATAAGAAAAAAATATTATGAAAAGAATAATAAATGTGGGAAAAAGAAGAAAATCGAAAGATATATAATAATATCAAATAATAATATGCAACTAACAGAGAAATTAATAAGTAATGAAGTTATCGAAAAGAACAAGATAAATCACGATTAGATTTTTAGAAGAAAAGAAATGCTATAGAAATCAAAAAAACAAATAAAAAATAAAATAATGATAGAAAAAGAAATAGCGTGATAGAAAAAAACAACAATTTTGAGATTGTTTTGCACAATTATCGATTACAAACTACCGATTATCGATTAATGATTACCAACTATCAAATAGCTACTCATTCTCGATAATAAGTCAGTTCTTGGTTATAAAATATGTATTTAAACTCGAAAATATAGTTATACTTACAAATAACATGTTGTTATTATTCATGTTATCATTAATTATACATTAATTATAGAAATGTAGATGTTCATGAGAAATCTTAGCACAATCAAAGATCTAAAATGTGGAAATATTAATTGAAGAACAATCTTTAATTATTCGAGTATAGTTAACTGTGTAGTTCGTGTTTTCCTAAAAACACTGTCACGCGATCTATTCGATAATCGATTAATTATAAGTGTAACGCCTCAGTCGATCGAGAGGCAAGCAGCACAAGAGGGCAGTACGGCACGTCTTGCAAATGATCGAAGAAAGCCCGCGTTGAAATGATCGGGAATTGATCACTGTTTCATCTAAAGCAAAATCAGAGAGAATCCGTTCCGTTCCTGGATGATGGTTTCGTGGCGCGGAAGTGGTAGGGGATTCGAAGATTATACTCGTTGGTTTGTAACTCGAAAGAACAGTTTGGTTTACGATCGCTTTCGAGTTGTATTATTTTTTCTCCGAGTTTCAAAATGTTTGAATACTAAATACAAGTCGCAATCGTTATATATATTGAATCGAAAATTGAAACGAAAAGAAAAAAGAAGGAAAAAACGAGTGCGGTATTAACGATCATACGATCTAATAATTGTGACGAGTTGATTTGACCATATAAAAAGCTATTTTATTTCGCGATCATACTTACTAATTTTTTTTTGTTTATACACTTCTGATTATTTTTCATTCACGTTTTTCTCTTTCAACCTCGATTTTGCATAGTTAATTATGAATTAATGAAAATATATGAGATAAAAAGAAGACATATGAAAAGAATTAATTATCGATACGAAAAAATATTAATGTTTTTCTAAATCTAATTTTTTAAGAATACGAAAAACACAGGTGAGTGTGATGAATTGATTATTTGATGATTGAAAACATCGTATATTTTGATATTGTGTTATTTAATCATTTTATTACTTTAATCAACTAAGACAAAGTTTATTTTAAAAAATGATCGTACGAATGATCACGATACGAATGAAAGGAAGTAACCATTGGCAATGAACTCGGAACTTTAGAACGCGAGCACGTGTTTCTTTGTAAACATCTACTCGGCCATTTCCCTTCCCTTTTTACTTTACGTTCGATGAACCATAATCCTTCCGAAAGAGAGGGTTCTAAATTAAAAATAGCCATGGTTAATTTCGAATCAAAGAAATATACTTGTCATGTTGTGAAACGTTCGCAAATTTTTCTATGTTTATCTTCTTCTATTTTCTTCTTTCTTCAGCTTCTTGACATAACTACAAATATCAAAAGATTTAAATTTGAAACTAACATTTTTATTAATAATTAAATTCAAAAATATATTAAGAAAAATGTTTTTAGAAAAATAGCATACATAGAATATTATAAAAAGTATCAAACATATAATTTCAATTATTATAATCATTATATGTAAAAATACATGTGAATACATATATTTTTACGTATATATCTCTACGTAAGATGACTTTGATTGTTTTTTTCAGACGAAATCAATCCACTAAAAAAAAGCAAAGGGAATGAAAAATGAGATACAAGGTGAGATAACAACCTTAGCGAATTTCAAATATTTTTTTCATCCGAATATACATGTATATTTATGTGTACTTGCATATATATGCATGCATAATACACAACGCATAAAATAATCGGACTTGTGATTATAATTTGTTTTGTTTTTTGAAAAGAGACAATAGCTGTTGTTCCTACTTTTTATTCTTCTTTCTTTTTTCTCTTGTTTGATCGTTCATTGTCATACGTATACATAAAAATATACAAGACAAAAGCTGCAGCATCGCAACGCCTTGAATAAATCGCATCACACATCATCGTCATATGTTCTATCTATATGTTTACGATTAATAATAATTCTATATTTTTTTTTCTTAATTATAATAACCAAATTCATTTTTTTGCTTAATTAGAAAAATTGCTGCGAATATGATAAATCTGATTATTAGTAAAGATTTGTTTTGATATCATTATATAACTTGATTTATGTATATACAATGTATTTTATAATTGCATAATTCTTGAAGATACGTGCATAGAAACACACATGATGGATCAATATTAGAGACTAGAATGTTTCTTGGAAGTAAACGCGAGATTCAATATTAATTTTATGATCTTTCGGTTTCATTTTGATTACTTTGACACATTATATGCAATTATTAATAATTATATTAGCAAACTATTTCGTCGAAACGAATTACAAATAAATAAATTCAACATTTCCTATGAAAAAGTTAGAATATTTCTATAAATATATAATAAATATATAATAAAAAATAATAAATTTACATAATAAATTTTACTCTCGAAGATCATATTTGTTTCACTTAACTTTTCGTTTATGTTAAAGCATATGTAGATTATCCATCTAAGCATTCCTTCTATTTGTAGCATGCGGGAATCAAAAAAGAACACAATATTCGAACTGTCTGCTACATAGTCTGTGCTACATCTTATTATATCTTTTAAGATTGTTTGCTTTCATATCTTCTCACTTAATTTACAATTTCTGAATGATATAAAATGATATAAAATCGAAATGTTTTCTCTAAACCCTTTATATCACTATAACATTGTTGATTATTTTTTTGTTTCAATCATTGGATTTCACAATATTTTTTTCTTTTTTATTTAACTTTTTTTCAATTTTTTTTATAAAGCAAGATAATTTCACAATACGATTTTCGTTCTTTATGATGCAACCATATAATATCGAATTACAATTAGAGTGTGAAGAATATTTCTGATAGCATAGTTCTGTTCTTGTGATATATGAACAAATTGGATAGAGAAGTTATCATACGCATACACGAATATAACATATACTTATGCTATTATTAATTGCCATCACTAACTATTTCATATTGTGCATGTTTTTTTTTTTTTTTTTTTTTAA